TTTTTCCTTAAATTCTTTTATTGGTACATTTTAGGTATACAATACATTTACATTTATCATTGGGTGCTTGTAGCTGTACATGACGTATCTTGGTTCTTATTTTTTCCCCATTCCCTGTGCTCCCTTACCCCCCTCCACCCTTCCCTATTTACAAAGACTTTGTTTCCATTTTTTCCTTTTTTCATAATTTTTCCTTTCCCTTCTATCTTTTCCCCTTCCCCTCCCACTTCCCCTACCTCTTTACACTGAAAGTGTAAATAAGGATTAAAATGATTAAAAGAAATAATTGAAAATTTGAAATAGGAAGAAAAGGTCCAAAGGGGTAATTGTTTTTTTTAAAAAATTCCATACCAGGGGCTGGGGATTTAGCTCAGTGGTTCCGGCACCTGCCTCGCCAGCGCAAGGTCCTGAGTTCAATCCCTGGTACCAAAAAAAAATTCCATACCATTTTTCCATATTGTTTCCAGTAATTTACATTCCCACCAACAGTGGGGGATTCCCTTTTCCCCATCTAACACTTGTTATCTTTAGTCTTCCATTTTGTTTGTTTTGGTTTTTTGAGACAGGGTCTCACTATGTAATTCAGGATGGTTTTGAATTCATTATGTAGCCCACACTGGCCTTGATCTTTCAGAGATGTTCCTGCCTCAGCCTCCCGAGTGCTGGGATTACAAGCCTGTGCCACCACATCCCGCATCTTTAATCTTTTTGTTAATAGCCATTTTTACTAGAGTGAGGTGATATTTCACTGGAGTTTTGACTTGCATTTCCCAGATGACTGGTGGTGTTGAGCACTTTTTCTCATAAACCTTTTGGGCATTTGTATGTCTTCTTTTGAGATATGTCTAGCTGCCCATTTCAAAGTCAGAATATAATTTTGCTGTTGCATTTGTGGGGTTCTTTCTTTCTGTACCTGGGATCAAACTCAGGACCTTGCGTTTGGGAGGCAGGCAGCCGAACCACTGAGCTAAATCCCGGCCCTCTTTATATATTTAGAGTCTGGTCTTGCTTTTGTTTTCTGTGCTTTTTGGGGTCTTGTCCAAAAAATCCTTGCTCTCCCATTGTCCAGATGTTTATGGAGGGCTGGGAATGTATGTGTGACCATGGGTTCAATGGGCAGCACAACAAACAAAGCAAATAAAACAAAACAAAACACCAGTTTTTTTGAGGGAAGGGGAAACCCCACCAGTTTTGAATCATGACTGCAAGCTGAGAGTGGTGGTATATGCCTTAGTCCCTGCTGCTAGGGAGACTGAGTGAGTAGGATTGCTTGAGGCCAGGAGTTTAAGGTCAGCCTGGGAAATGTAGTAAGGCTTCATCTTGAAAATGAATAAATAAGCCAGGCACATGGCACATGCCTGTAATCCCAGCACTCTGGAAGACTGAGGCAGGACATGGTGAGTTTGAGCCCAGCCCGGACAATTTAGTGACTTAGCTAAGAATAATAATAAAAAAAATTTTTTTAAAGCACTGGATATGTAGTTCAGTGCAAAGGAACTGTGTTCAATTCCAGTGCTGCTTAGTTAATTAATCAATTAAAACCATGGGCCCCAAATTGTTTGACAGTTCTGGACTCTAAGCCCCTTTCCTCTGAATTAAGTCTCAGATTTGATCAAAATAATTCAGAAGTGACAGTATGACATTCTCTATACCCAAGCCTTAAGAAACCTGCAGCTTCAAATTCTAACTGCAACTTAGTAAGCACTGATCAATAAAGTTTCTTTATTGGGAGGCTGAGGCAGCGGGATCACCGGGAGTTCAAGGCCAGCCTGAACTGCACAGTGAGAACCCGATCTCAAAAAAAAAAAAGCAAATTTCAGTTTCTTTGGGCGTTCATTCGAACCCTAACTTTCACACTGTGAGGAAGTCAAGGCCACATGGAGAGAAGAGTGAGGACAAATCTGACTATGCCCATGAAACTTAACCTGTCTCGCCTGCTTTTAGGTACTTTCTTTTAGTACACTTTAAAAATCACTAAGTTTTACCAGGCACAGTGGTGCACCCTTATAATCCCAGCACTCCAGAGGCTGAGGGAGGATTGCCAAGAGTTTGAGGCCAATCAGCCCTGTTTAGTGAGTTCAAGACCAGCTTGAACTACACAGCAAGACCCTGTCTCAACAAATCTACATATTCAAGCACTTGGGAAGCTGAGGCAGGAGGATCACCATGAATTCAAGGTCAGCCTGAACCACATAGTTCAAGGCCAACCTGAACTACATAGCAAGACCATGTCTGGAAAAAAAAAAATTGAAAAGGGCTGGGGATGTAGCATAGTGTGAAGGCTCTGGGTCTAATCCTCGGTACCCCCCCCCCAA